ATATTAAAAGTTGTCCTAGGAAGAAATATAAAAATTTGAAGCAATGTTTATTGGTATCAAACCAATTAAAGAAGGATACTGAGAAAACAATGTAGAACTGGCGATTTGTTCAAGTGGCAGGGAGGAGGGATCTTGTCAATATGATTATATTGCATGAATATCCTCTTAGTATGGTTGAGCATCACGGGTTTCAAAAATATTGTCACACTCTTCAACCAATGTTCAAAATGGTATCCCGCAACACTCTAAAAAATGATATCTTTCAAATTTACAAAACTGAAAGGGAGAAGACAATAAAGTTGCTAGAAAAAATAAAAAGTAGAGTTGTTATTACTACAGACATGTAGTCCTCAAACAATCAAAGAAAGGGGTACATGGCAATCACCACCCACTTTATTGACAATTCTTGGACATTGCAGAGTCGAATTATAAGGTACTAATGATATTTCATTACCATGTGTTATTTATTATAAGGTAGTAATGATATTCCATTAATATGTGTTATTTTTTATCTTTAGATTTTTATATGTGCCTTATCCACATATCAAGGAAATGCTTGTGGAGTGTTTAATGGATTATTTTTTCGATTGAAACCTTGATAGAAAGTTGATAAATTTGATTGTGGATAATTGTACCACTAATGATGCAATTGAGGCTATTTTGATGGATAAACTTCCATTTGGTTCATTAATATTGCATGGTCAAAGATGGACAGCATGCAAGATGGTTTGAATGTGATTGGAGATGGTATTGAAAGAATTCGTGATAGTGTTGCTTATTGGACAGTATCTCCCAAGAGAGTGCAAAAATTTGAAGAGGCAACTCATCAGATACATATTCCAAGTAATAAGAAGCTTGCTCTTGATGTTAAAACTCGATGGAACTCTACTTTTCTCATGCTTCAAACTAGTTTGATTTATAGAGATGTGTTTGCTCACTTGAAATATCGAGATTCTCATTACAAGATTTGTCCGACTGAAGATGATTGGGAGATGGCAAGAGGGATTTGTGAAAAATTGGAATTGTTTCATACTACAACTAAATTGTTTTCAGGTACAAAGTATCCTATTGCCAATGTATACTTTCCAACTATTTGTGGGATAAGAGTAGAAATATCTAAGTGGCTTCAAAGTCCTAAAGACGTGATAAAAGATATGACCTTGAATATGTTGAAAAAATTTAACAAATATTGGAGTGTGATTCATGGTATTATGGGAATAGCCACTGTTTTAGATCCACGGTATAAGTTGATAATTTTTGAGTATTACTATAAGAAAATGTATGGAGGTGTGAAAACTTTAAATAAAGTGACGAGGATTAAGGAGCTTTGCTTGGAATTGGTTGGCGAATATGAAACGAGACAAGGAAGTGATTATGAACCGCAACCTTCTCCTCCCCCTCTTCAATCAGATATTGATTCTAACTACCAATTAATTGATGATCTCTCTGATTTTGATAAGTTTATACAAACAAGAGACATAACAAAAGCACGTGGGAAGTCTGAGTTGAATCGTTACTTAGAAGATGGTATGATGCCAAGAATTTCAGATTTTGATATACTGTCTTTTTGGAAGACAAGTGGTCCCAAATATCCCCTGCTCCAAATGATTGCTAAAGATCTTTTTGCTATTACTGTTTCTATCGTTGCCTCGAAATCTGCTTTTAGCACAAGTAGGAGGGTGATTAGTCTACATCGCAATAGACTTCTTCCAATTACAGTAGAGGCTTTAATGTGCTCTCAAAGTTGGTTATGTGCTGAAGAACGAGATAATGAAATATTATTTGTGTGTGCATCATAATGTTTTTGGGGGGTAAAGTATGACTAATGCATTATTTTTTTTTTGTTAGGTTCATCTACTTCAATGAGCTTGAAGAGCTACAATTTATTGGAGGATCTTGATATTGATAATGAGGTATCTTATTTTAGTTGAAAATTTTTCTTTGGAAAAATCTAATTATTTCTTTTTTAATGATATAGGAAAATGATGTTGAAGAAATAGATTCTACCACCAACGATGCTATTAAGCGATGATTGAGTTGGTGTGAAGCGATGATTGAGTTGATTGAGATGATTCTAACACCATTAAGTTGTTTGTGTTATGTTGTGTTATATCAAATTGAAGTAGTATTTTGAAAATTTATTGTTTGTGTTATTTTCGAATATGTTATGCTACATTATGTTATGTTAAATTATTTAGAATATTGTTGGATTATTTAAAATGTTAGATTTGTTTAGAATTTTGAATTATGTTGGCTTGGGCTTGGGCTTAGGCTTAAGCTTGGACTTGGGCATGTGCGGGTACAGGGGAAGCGCGGACGGAGACGGGGATTAAAAGTTTACCTGCGGACGGGGATAGGGATAAAAATTATACTCGTTAACGGAGGTGAATCGGGGATGAACGGAGTTTTTTTAAACGGGTATGGGGATGGAGACTACACCCCCCACCCCCGCTTCGGTCCACTGCCATCCCTAGACTTTACCCTCCAATGATAGTTTTTGCAAGGGAGGCTATGCGGGGATAATTTCACACTATGAATCACCACCTCGTACAGACAAAAAGGATGGTGAAGAAACCTTGAATAACTTGTAAAACAAAAGAACACTTAGATGAAATGATGGCTAGAGGGGCTAAAGGGACTCCGATACTTAAGTCAGATCACAAATCAAATAAAGTATGTAGTGAATGTGCTTGGATTGAATGACTTACTTGGTCAGTGAAGGTCTTTATTTATAGCAATAGGGAAATATATCCCAAATGAACCCAAACTCTAGTTGATTGACTCAACCTTGTCATTAGGTTCTAGAAGTACGGATTAAAGTTAGATTAGGATTCTTGGTCCTAAGTCCTTATACCAGCTCCTAGTTGCTCGGAATAGCATTTTACTTGGACTCTAACTTCTTGGTGCCTCATCTCCAGCTCCTAGTTAATTCAGATAGGTTGTACCTTAGTCGAGTAGGACTCGCCTAGAGGAAGTAGGCAAGTAAGAGGAGTGTTCCTAATACCTCACGGAGCCGTGGTTTAGGTGTCTGCCAGCCGGCTTTCAAGTGCCTTGGAGGCTGTCGGTCAGCACCTATGCGCCTTAGGAGACGTTGGTCGGCATTCAGGTGACTTGAAAGCTCCTCCCTTGCCTTATGCCGGTCAGTTGAGCCTACTTTGGCTTTGTGACAGTCGGCACTTGCCAGCCAAAGGTCCCCACAATTGCCCCCCATACCTCATTTAATGAATAGAATTAATTGAGGTATATTTTGGAGGTCTTATGTTTTTTGGGCCTTTATTACTTAAAAGATTAGGGCTTTAAGTTTCTTGTCTCTCTTCTCCTCTTTACTAACTTCCCTTTGCATTCCTTCACTTGGTTCATAGGTTGGAGCTTGGCTGATAGAGAAAAAAGAGAAACATTCATTATTACTTGTACAGTGATAAAAGTTTTAATGCGAGTGAGAACAATACTTTGTAGGGAATGACAAAGTCATTGAGACTTTACCCTCCAGTGATAGTTTTTGCAAAGGAGGCATTGGGAGAAATGAAATTTGGTGGCCTAAACATCCCCAAAGGTGTTGGCATGTGGACCTTTTTTCCAATGTTGCATCAAGACCCTCAAATATAGGGATCTGATGCCGACAAGTTCAACCCTGGGAGTTTTGCCAATGGAATCATTGATGCATGCAAGTTTCCACATGCATACATGCCGTTTGGTGTTGGTCCTCGTGTGTGTTTGGGGCAGGCATTAGCAGTAGAAGAACTTCAAATTCTTCTGACTTTTCTTCTATTCAACTTTTTCATTCTCTATCTCTCCCAAATACCAACACTCTCCAATGTTTAGATTGATTTTAGAGCTTGAACACGGAGTCAATCTCCTCATAAGAAGACTATGAACTATGACTTGTGGGAAAATAAACTTCTTTAATTACTATTATGTCCTTATTCGTCGTATTAGTGGATGAGTGATGTGTTTTAGTGGCACATTGTTGTAGCAAGTATTGGAGGAGTGATATCTTAATATTTCTAGTTGTGACGAATAGAGGAGAAAGTGTAATGCTAATGTAACGTTAAGGTTATTCAATGTATCAGGAATAATTCGAAATGTACTAGAAGATTTGCGCTAGTTGTATGCTGGATCTACCCATCTTACTATAATCTTTCAGCACAATGCTGAAACAGTTTTTTCAATGGAATTTGTTGATAAATAAATATATTTGCACCAAAGAACATAAACAAATCAAACAAAGCATTTTCCACATCAAGCACTTCCACAATCCAGTTCTTTTTATCCCACTACTTCAATAGATGTCCATCTATCCAATCTGAACACTACCAAAACAAAACCACCAAAGGGCCATTTGGATTCTGAAGCTGAAGGGTCAAAACACACACACAGTGACTTACACGGGGCTGAAATGTAGGGAGTAAAATGACAGAAGATAAAAGAACAGAACTTTCTCAGTAGCTGATTGATGAACACTTCAAAGAAATGTAGGTTTGAACTAATAAGCAATTGGGATATTCATAAAAAGACTATTTCAATAGAAGTGAGGTGCAAGCATTCAAAAATAGGTGATTACCTATGGAGTGGGACTGCAAGCAAGGGGCAAACAATTTTATCACCTGTCCATCGACCAAATTCATCCCGTGACAAATACAGCTCTCAGCTATTCAGTTCAAAAATACAAAGATAAGTAATCTCATCCATGGGCGCAAAGAGGAAGTATTCTCTAGCAAAGTCAAATAGAACGAGGAACCATCATTATTCAGGTTCAGAACATGATGGACTACTGTATTTGCTGAAATTGTAAAATAACCAGAACAATTATTGAATGATGTTTATAATTTCTGTGTTGATTGAATTTGGAACCTAACCTACAAAAATGAATGCTTGAATTAAGGTTATTTCACAAAGTGACTGATGCTGAACTTCCAAGTTGATAGCAACTCAACCCATCATAAGAAATTAAATCTCCCTGGGAAAATTTGATCCTCAGAAAGCTAATGTTCTCCCCTCCTTTATGTTTCTACTTTCTGGTAAATTTGGTCGGAAACAGCCTCGAGTATGTCATAGTGACCATAACCATGAAACAGAACATTAATGGGACGCTTTTCTTCCTTCTGATATTCTTCACCATAATTTGCTATGTTAATCAAACTGCCTGAGCTTCTACCTATCATATAGACAGATATTGGTGTCCTGCAAGAGAAAATCAAATAGTGAGCAGGGATTTCAATTATAAACCGCAAGGTGTACTTCGCTAACCATCAAGAGAGCATCTGGAGTGTTTATTTAAATGAAAAAGATTCCATCCTGAATTCATATCATGCAAAAGGAAATCCTTGGATTGATATAAAGTCTAATAAAAACAAAAAAAGTGGGAAGAGTAAAGCCAAAGTCATCACTAAAAGAAGTAACAAAAGTTAAGATGTCATCCCAATTTAAGATTCTACATAGTTGAAGCATTAAATTGATAGTCAAAACGTCTCTAACCAAGTCATGTTCAAGAATTTCTAAGGAAGATTTACATTCCGATAAATTTCTGTTAGTGGCAAGGTAAGTGGGTTTCCAACATAATTTATTCTTCAGTATTTGAACAGTAAAAGAAACAAAAAAAAAATATTTTAGAAAAATAAAAAGTGGAAGACAATCGGTGGACTTAAAGCAGCTGTATTGCTTGGTTCCAAAAGAGAATAATATGAAACAGCAGATGTCACTCACTTGAGAACATGAGAAGACATCAGTAACTCAGGTTCCCCACCCCATACATAAGGTTGCTGGATTCTTTTCACATATGCATCGAAATCTCCTTCAATAAACCTAAAATACACAGCCAAATACAACCACATCAGTATCACACTAGAAATATCATTGACACTTCAAGTATGACTATCACGGACTCTCACCATTCCGCTTCTTTTCGCCTTGTTAAAAGCTCGTCAACAACCTACGGAATCCCAATTTGGTTCAACATATATAATACTTTAATAAGATTAAAAGAAAATAAATATTTCAGCAACAAAAGAAAAAAAAATTACTTGAGCTCTTAATTCATCAGCAAGTTCTCTCTGATGATTCTCGTCTGGAGGTTCTTCCCCATTTCTCAAGCAAGCTACATGAGCTATTGCTCTAAATAGGCAACGCCCATCCGCTGGCACCCCTGTATTATCCTTCAGCTTTGAGATTCTACTTTTCCAAAAAACAACTTTGACATCCTACTCGGATACTTTTATAATCGTTCCAAAGTATTCAGATAAAATGAATTCACTCGAAGATTTTACTGAATTTAACACTGGATACATGCATGGGAATCAAAAAATTACGATGTTTTAAAAGCGTTGCTCTAAAAAAATCCTGCAACAGATTTAAATTGGTATATCAAGCACAAACTTTTAATAAACAAAAAGAAAATGTAACTCCAAAACCATGCGCTGAACTCATAGATGAAAGGACGGGACCTCCTCGCCCTCCCCTCCCCCCCCCCCCCTTTCTTTTTCTCAAATTTTACTGAATTTAACACTGGATACACGCATGGGCATAAAAAATTACATTTTAGAAGAGTTGTTCCAAAAAATCCAGCAACAGATTTAAATTGGTATATCAAGCACAAACTTTTAATGAACAAAAAGAAAATGTAACTCCAAAACAATGCGTTGAGCTCATAGATGAAATTACGGGGCGAGGTATTTTGTACATTTTGTATTGAACTCTAATTTCTTGGATCTAACTAATAACCTAATCATGAGAAATCATCATATTCTGTAAATATATATGAACTTCTCCATCGTAAGTTTCTATTAATTCAGAAGTTATAGACTTCTTTGAATGTTCTGGATCCACCTCAAAATTCAACTAGAATATTGGGTTGTGTAGTAAAGAAACAAAAACGTATATATTTTGAATTAACAGTGGAGACAAAGAAAATTGAACTATATAGAAAGATTGCTTAGGACTATTTTGTAAGTACGAAGAGCAAAAGGAAAATAAGAAAGACAAGGGTTAAAGAACTAGGATTGGATACCATTAGGAGTTTGTTTTACAACATATGAAATTGAGATTCCTTACAATATGTTTTCCTTATTTTCATACGTGATTAATTTTTATTTCATACGCTGTTACCGCAGCAATGCAAATCTTTTGTTGATATTATAGTATAGACTTAAGTGTTGTGGAGTAGTTAAGAGTTATTTCTTAACTGATTGTAACTTGATTGTCACTTTTCATCCTGGTACGATTCTAAGGATGAGCTTAAGTCATTCCATAACATTTCAACCAACAATTACAATCTTTTAGCTTATTTCTAAACTGCAATTTTCATAGTGTTAATAACTTATCCAGCAGTTGTAGAACATCTTTAAGGGAATCTTAATAGGCTTTTCACCAAAAGTATAATGCTTAATTATTGAGGAAATCAGACATTTAGATGTTTAATTATATTTATTATTGCAAGAAAAAACAGACAGCAAACCATTACACAATTATTGAAGAAGGAAAAAAGAAGACTCGTACATTAATTTCAGCATGAAACATAAAACGTAACTCAAATAGTCAAATTCACACACACACACACGTAGCATTTCATCAAATACTTTCAGTTCATGACTCTCTCTCTCTCTCTCTCACATAAACACATCTAAGCAAAGATATGAACCTTACTTGTAACTCTGTAATTAGCAGAGGTCTTATCATTCGCATCCGAACTGGAAATCTCGGGACTGCCAGCATCAATTGTCTCATCGCCGAACACAACCTCGGTACTCACGTCAGCCACATCCACCGGCGCCGCTAAGCAAGCGCAAACCCCAAATAGAAGCCAAGCCGAGTCAACTCGGTGGAGCCACCGAGCCGGCCTCGCGTCCCACGCCACATTCCAAGACCCCTCGCCCTTCTGCTCATGGTGTCGAAAACTCCGCCGGAGCTCCCCTCTCCGGTCACCGCCGGCCGGCAATATTGCGTGCCATATCGACGCCGCGCCGCCTCTTGAGCCGTCACCGGAGCCGAGCCGGCAAGAGCTTGAATGATGACGCCGGCGCCAATCGTCGGTCACGGCAATTGCTAGCTTTATCGGACTTCGAATTAGCCGGTGATGAGCCGCTGAGCCGTGGGAGAAGGATAGAGAAGTGAGAAGCCAAGGCTTGGGGCGTGCGCAGAGTACACCGAGCATCACCGGAATGGATTAAAACGTTAACCTGCGCTGGAATCAGGATTGGGGATAAAACCTACGCACCCATCGGCACAGAAATTGAGGAAATGTTTACTGAGCTTTTTCGCTGATGAGGTTCGATGAAGAAAAGAGTTAAATAGGTTTAAGAGACAGAAAGTCTGTGGGTCCCACATAAAAGTAAGTAGGAATGTGCTGGTATAATATTCGAATACTTTGGCTGTAACGTGAAAATTGTGGCCTCTAGATATCATTTTAAATTGAAAAAAAAAGTGGGGGTTAAATCTTACGAATGTCACCTAATATAGCAATAATTTCGCATTTGAAGATATTTTGTATTATCAAAAATTAATTATTTATTGTCTAATATTTATACTATATAATTTTTTTATTTTTTTCATAATATAATTTTAAATTAAAATGAACAGAGATAAAATAAAAAAAAAGATATAGGAGGGAGAAGAAAGAAGAAAGAGGTAAATTTGAATTAGTGGAAATCAAAATTGTTTAGTATTGAAGATTGTATTGGTTAAGTTGTATGATATAGAGGGTTGTGTAGTAAAGATGATATTTTTGAGTGAAAAGAAAATATAGAATAAATTTTTTAATAAAAATAGATAAAAATATGATAAATTTTCACCATTTTGTTTTGTAATATTAGATAGATTTTAAATTAATATATATATTTTAAATAATAATTTATATATATATATATATATATATATTATTTAATTTAAAATTTAAGTAAATAGAGAAAAAATAAGAAAAAAGTATGTGTGAATTTTGGAAAATATTACACAACCTAAATGAAACCCAAAAATTGCAATTCAAATACGTTTCATTTCTTGGATAATATGTATTTGGATTACAATTTTTTGGATTTCATTTGATTTTATTTAGCATTACTTGTGAATTAGTCGGATTGTCTAGTATTGGAGAGTGTGTTAGTTAAGTTGTCTGATATTGAGAGCTGTACAGAAAAGATAATATTTTGAATAGGAAAAAAAATTAAGATGAACTTTATACTATTTAATCAAATTAAATTAGAATTAATTCAATCTTGACTGTTCTTGTAATTTTATAAATTAAAATTATAATTTCTTATCCGTCATATTAGATAAGTAGAGTCGTGTTATGTCATATTACATTTTTATTAGATCAATCAATTTTAGCTACACTGTTTTATTTATTCTGCCAAATTATTAGACATTAAATAATTACATTTATTATGGCTTTTCGTATGCAAGTTGACACACATAACTCGTTAATTAAAAATTCAAAATTTAAAAATTTTTCTCTAAACCAAATTTATAATATAAAATAAGACAGACTTTAATAAGTTTATTCGACAGTCTTAAATAAACTCATCAAATGACCATGAACATCTATTTCAAAATTATCCACATTGCATTGTACCTTCAAATATGAGTTACCCCTGATCATTCATAAATTAAAACTTCACTATACTGGATGGTTACAAAACAAAGTAAAAAAAAAAATAGCTACTTATAAGAATAATAATAAAATGCTACTTCAAAAAATGGGGAAAAAGAAAAAACATTAGCAATTTATTTTCTCATATTACACGTTTGTTGTGTCAAGTTTTAAGCACGACTTATTTTTTATTCTCTTTAATAGACATTATTATTTTATTTTTTATTGAGAATTAGTCAATTATAACTCACTAAAACAAATTGTTGTCGAATAGTGTATAAAGATAATTATTTATAGAATATAATTACTCGACAATATTAAACAGAATATCCTCTTATTTATTGTTCTATGGATTGATAGTCATTTAAGGTTGTCTTGAAAAAAGATGGCATTAGGAATGGGGTGCTTTAATTTGATTTGAAGTCAATTGAATTGTACTCAGGCTTTTGAAAATTATAAATGTGACCCTTTTGTCTTGTGTTAATATCAGTCTTAGTCTTAATTCATTTTACCAATCCTTTAAATTGGTTATAAAAATAAGTTCATCAAATAATATTTTCATGAAAGAAAAACCTTGACGTTTTAGTTTCCGACGAATTTTCATACTTTGAAACATTTGTATAATAATTTCATTATCAATGATACGTAAAATTTCTTTCTCGACATATGTAACCAAGTAATCGTTCATCTATTGATCTCTCTTTCGATTGCGCAATTAATTTTTTAAAAATTAATTTGCTCAGTCACAAACTTAGTATTTATCAATAAATTTTAACAAACAATAAAAATTAACTTAAAATATGACTATTTTATTAAACTAAACCTAGGTATATGAATTATTTAACCTATCACAATAAAACTATTCAAACCACCAAACCAAAACAATTTAATTTAACACATAATGGAAGACTACATGCCCAATTCTAATTCAACATATAAGAATAAAACAAAGAGAGTATTACAAGCCCCAATATCAATTAAATATATAAAAATATAAATCATAGACGATTACTATAAGCCTTAATTTCATTTCAACATAAAAAAATAAATACAGGTCTATAAGCCCCAATTTCAACTCAATACATAAAATAATAAAACACAAAGAGAACTACACGCCCCATAAATTTTTTAAAACTTTTCAGTGGGGAAAAATGTCTAATAAATTATAATTTTGTTTTAAATTATATTTACACTTCAAAAATTTTTAAAATTTCAGTGAGGACAGTTGGCCCACTACCCCCAGTATAGATCCACCATTGATGAACATCATCAATACTCATTGTGTCTTACAAATAAATAGTTAATAGACTTGTCCATGGTCGACTTTGAATATGATTTCGATTGAATTGAATCCGATTTGAAAATTAGACCCGAATAAGATCTAATTGTCAAATGAAATTAATTTTACAGGCCATATCCAACACTTCTAAAAATATAAAAGTCGATATAATACTAATAATTAAACAAGAACTAAATTTTAACAAATTATACTTCACTTTCAATACAGTATCGTCAAATTTTAAATATAAATTTGCCTCCAAGTATAAATGTATTACAGGGCCGCCCCAACAGTGTTGAAAATAGGGATAAAAAGGCGGCTGGTACACAATATTAAAGTAATTAGGGAAGAAGTACACCTATTAAAAAAATTTGTAAAAAAGTCCACCAACTATAACAAAAGTCCATAATAGCCCTTTATGAGGTTGAAGAGGTTTTCCACATGTATAAGGAAACCGATGAGGAGAACGGGAAGAAGTAACAACTGTTCACACATCTCCGCCATTGGCAGTCAGAGTTTGCACGACTTGAGGAGAAAATTTGAAATTCAAACGGTACGCAATATCTACTTCAAAAAACATTCTCTCACCAGTCACATTACAAAGAAATGGTTTCAAAGGAATTCATTATTATTGAGGGTTACACTATTAACAACACCCACCACCAGCAAAATTATAATCCATTGAAGTCAAGGATTTTGCTGTGAAAAATACACACTGCTGGTAAACTCTTCCACCATTGAAGAACAGTGTGGTATCACAATGTGACATGAATGTCACATTGCATATACACATCACATTTAGGTTTTGGCACATTGTGGTATCACAGTGTAACTCTAATTGGAGAAGATGAAAATCAGATAGTGATCATCGATTATGATATTGATGAGTCATGAAAATTCGATTCTAGCATGGATAGAAAAGCAGACATTCAAAAAGATTCATGTTTTTAGAATACTAGCTATTGAATAAAAGAAGATGATGTAGTTCAAAATTCAAACGTATTGTCCTATTGAAATAGAAAACTAAATCCCACAAATAAGTTCCTACAAAATTACCCATGAATAAAGAAAAAGGGTATTCATTAAAAAGATAGTTATTGTGTATCTATTCACAAAATATTTCCAAAAAAAAAATGACTTACGCAAAGTAGAGTTTCTGCATGGTACTTCACTACAAATAAGTAGTGTATAGTGTACCTCTTCACAATTATTCCTTAGAAATAAAACCAGGGTTTTAGGTCTCAAATTTTTAGAAGACCCTCTAATTTTAGGTACATTATTAGCCTGTTATATTTACTCCAATTTAATCTCTCCCTTTCTCTCAAAAACAAATTAAATTTTTTTAAAAATTAATACTAAAAATAAAAAAATACATTGTTTAGTGTTTCCGCTTTAAACCTCAATTTATCTTAAGCCGTCCCTCATGCAATATCAAATCTAAATTAGGTATATTCATATATTTTGGTGCGTTGGAAATGAATAAAGCCCAATAATTTTAAAATTTTGAGTGGGGACAGTTGCCCACCCTCAATTTGGTTAACCCGCACATGTTAGTTCAATAATTGAATAAAGGAAGGAGCTGTGCATTCGTATGAATGAGCCGTGCATTTCCATGTTCTAAGTTTGATTCTAACAGCCATATAAAACTTGAATTTAATTGATACGCTTTATTTGTATGTGATTGCATGTATCAAAATTTACATTGCAGTCGTAAATTTAAACAAACTGCCATAATTTCGTTTCCACGAAAAATATTAGAAGATGCATTGTCTTTTATAACTTTTGACAACCTTCCGAATAAGACAATATGCATTGATGTATTACACATGAAATTTGTGGTCCTTTCTGTTCTTCATAGTTTATCGGCCTGTGTCTTGGTCCTTTCGGCTTTTCTCTTTGTCCAGTTTTCTTGTGACAGCATAGACTATACATCTTCCTTCCCTGGAATTCATGTTGTACCACTTTGTTTGCGTACTAGTACACGAAGTTCTCGTGCTACCTGACCTTCTACTCAGGGCTGGCTCAATAGAATTTGGGATGCTAAACAAAAATTTTACTTAATGCGATTTACAAGCTTATTATATATGTGTTATTTTATGATTATGCTATTTTTTCAATGAAGAGCGAGGGTTTATATTACTTTATGACTATTATATTTTTTAATGCGTTTTAAACTTAAAATGAGACGAGAGAGAGAGAGAGAGACTTGTTTATGTAAATGTATTTGTATGTCTTAATTATGGAGAGTGACTGGATTAACAACAAATGAAGAGATAAAGTGTGATCTTTTTGTCATGGATAATGAATGCTTCTGGTCGAATAGAGCACCTAGCTTTCTCCTCAAGCCCTCTTATAAAAGTCAAATCTAAAAGAATAATGCTATTT